TAAACGCTACAAAGAAGGTAAGCCTAACATGACATGTTAAGCCTAATCAGCTTACACGTCCTACCCCCCCCCCCCATTTTCAAATTGTAAGCTTGTTATACTTTATACTTTCAGGGCAGAGCAGCTAAAGTATAAATCGCGTTCCATCAAGAGAGGATATTCGGGTCTTTGCCTTACATATTCTGTAAAACATGTTTCTCTTTTCCTTCTACATATACATACATGTATATAACTAGTTCAACATTTTGTTGTTCTACCGTTCCACCTGATGATGATGATGGTACCTCTTTTTTTTTCTATCTAAACCATTTACGCATCACAGAAAAAAAATATATATATACTGGCTCATGGTTTCCCTTCAACCAAAATAAAGTTCCATAAGTTTCCCGTGTTTCAATTAATGTAATTTTATTCCCTTATCAGTGTGTCATCTTCTAGATTTGGTAAAACATACACTTCTGGCTAATGCGTTACTACCATGATCGATTTATTTTTATTATTTCACTGCTATAATGGCCAAAGAACATCAGTAGCCACTTAATTAAGGGGTCCTCTAACAAAATGCTGTTTACAATTTCCTATGTTGCCACGGCTTGGTATGGCTAGGTGGCTAGGGCGCTTGGCTCGTAATCTGCGGGTCGCGGATTCGAATCCCTGTCCCACCAAACATGCTCGTCCTTTCAGCCGTGGGTGCGTTATAATGTGACCGTCAATCCCATTATTCATTGGTAAAAAGAGTATCTCAAAAGTTGGCGGTGGGTGGAATGACTAGTTGCTTCCTTTCTAGTCTTTTACAACTGGATTAGGGATATCTAGCGCAGATAGACCTCATGTAGCTTTGCACGAAATTCAACACATGTTGCTGCATCGGGAGTCTACTCCTTTAACAATGCGAATTCCAAGTTTATTACTTCCTTAGCACATATTAGTGACATCCAATTCAATATTTTTTTTTGTCTAATATATTCACACCGCAGCGTACATTCTTCATGAAAGTTTAGACCTGGCAAACCGTTTCTGATTGGGATAATCTTGGTACCATCAATACAACTACTCTTTGTAGTTATATGCATTTTTTTTTCATTTCCTTTATAAGATATCCATAATTTAAAATGTATATATCAACAAATCCAACGTATCTTAACCTGATCAGTAGAAAGCTGCTGTCTCCTAGTATGACGTGTATGCTACACTTTCAGTTAATTTAATAATAGAATCTATACAAGAATCTTTAGCATAAGAATGTTGAAGTATGCCTTGTAGCATTTGAATTTGTGATTATCCTGTAAGGACAGCATTGCCTTATTTTAGGCTAATCTCGATGTTTTTCAGTATGTTGTTGACGTTATAGGACACTTGGATTTCTTCTTCGTATAATATGTTTGAGGATAACCTCTGCACGGCCATTTTTTAGTGAAATTTACCGAAATATTTTTTGCTTTTCCTGGAAATTCGCATCAGCCTATTAACGTTTCTCACCTGTGAAGACTATCTACCTTCTTTGGAGAAGATGTCTAGCAGAATGGTGGTTGTGATTGCTATGTAAGTTGTAAATCATCATAGTGTACAATTTTCACCTTATGGCTCCACGGATTCGTGGCCCAGAAAATTTCTTATAACCATTATCATCCAACTGAATTCTGCTCACTAAGTTTAGCTAATCCATATTTTAAACTGCTTAGAATAATTAAGGGATAGTTCTACTTAAGATAAAGGAGATAACTATTGCTACTGACTATATTTTTATGTAAAACAAGTGTCAGGTGATTTGATATGTAAATGTCTACTGATGGAGATCATGTTCCCAAATTCTCATTTGGTACTACGATCTTTGACGCCCAAGACATTATTAGAAAACATTTTTAATAAGGTGTGTAGCCACTTCTGACAGCAACTCAAGTTGTACATTGACTTGTAAAGATGAAAATGAGTGAATCAATGAACTGCTGGAGTAATATGACTCTCTCCTCCATCAGAACTGCTTCCAAAAAAATTTGTTCTTCGTCTATTGATTTATGTTTGATATTTATCGTTGCCAGGGTTTGAAGCCTATATGATTATCTAAATCTAATTATTTTTTTATCCTACGTTTCTGCTGCCAATCTGCTGCCGTCTTTAAGTAAATCGTGTTGGTAGTAGCCTAGATTTTATCGTGGGGTTTCTTGGTGGAAAGTCTGATCTCCAAAACCTTACTTAAATACTTACTTAATGTTAGTTATTTCACATTACAACAGATGGCGCTCGTGATTCCTTTATTACAGCAATTGAAAATGTTGCTAAAAAAGTGCGATAAGATTTATAAAACAGACTTGCTTGTACAGTCTTTCGTTACTTTCTTTGCTATCTGTGCCCACCACGGGTATCAAAACCCGGTTTTTAGCGTTATAAGTCTTCAAACTTACCGCGCAGTTGCTGGGAACAGTGTGATTTTAAAGTGATTTCTGCATTTTGTTTTTTAAATCCCTCAAACGGTAATACATATGTTAGCGGAAAAACGTTTGCATACGCATGGGGCCATTGGAAATGCATTCCCAGAATTTCCAGATTTTCACACTAGGGCGCCGCTTACGCTATGTGATGTCATGCCGAAACGACCATATAATTTTTTAAAATAATGTTTTTCTGAAACCGGTGCATAACTGTAACAGAAAATGGGGTTACTAACACCAATTTACTGAAACAAAACGTCTTTAACATTTTGCTGGCCATATTTAAGTCATTAAAATAAGTGTTCAGAATATTTGCTGCCACTTTCATTAACAGCTTTCAGACACTGTATAACACATGATACGCAACTGTATGCAACTTACTACATTGGATGACCAGCAGGTGGCGCTGAAAGCTGCTCTTAAGGTCAACAGTCGCCTGGATGGTCTTGGTACACTTTCAGAAAATCCTAAGATGTGAGATCTGGTGGCTAAACGTACAGAAATATCTTTTGGTGATTCTTTCACACACAAAAGAAGAAAAAGAAAAAAAAACTTGCGTAACTTCACAGCGTTAGTACACTATCTTGCACGAACTGTGTCCTACTACCTCTCGTGCAAAGTGAGTAACACTATATTAACCAACGTGTGTTGACAACGCGCACCAGTGTCTGCATTCATTCGTAAACCATGATCTATGAGCTTTATATAAAAGTAAGAGCCGATGATGGCCCCCAACCCAAGTGACCTTTAGGTCAGGAAGTGGTACGGCAACTTGATGACTGCTGCATTTCCCTTTGGGATTGCCTTGTTCGCTTCCTGATGACCATCTGTAGACTTTCTGGGCATCCTGATTGTTGTGCATCAGCCACAGATCCTATCTTTTCAGATTTATGAGTGAGACTAAGCAAGACTCATGGGCCTCGACAAACACCTCTGTTGTGACGAAAGGAAAACTTCACATCACATATTCAATATTGGAGTGACACTCTGTTCACATGCATCCTTGCAGACAAACTTACACATCTAACAGCTCTTTCAACTTACATACTAAGGAAATGTCAATTTTCAAGGGAGACGTATTGAGAGACCAGGTGAACCAGCATCTGGTCCGGAGTTTTAGGTTTCAGCATCTATGTATATAAAGCACAAAAATCTGTGTGTCTGTCTGTTTGTTCATTATCTAACTACTCCTAGGTCGCTGGGTCAATCTCAACCAAACTTTGTGGGATGATAGTTTGGAACAAGGGGCAGGTTATTGGGAGGTTCACATCCTTTTCCACTTCCCATTATTGCTGTTATTGAGAATTTATTATCTTTGACGTAAGTTAAAGTTAACTAGATTCATAGAGGGCGCTACATCCGTACACAAATATTATTAAATTTGCTATAACACAATATACACACAGTGTGAGGGGAGGGCACATAAACGTCTTATACATCTCAGAGAGTATGCTAGCACTCTCTATGGAGGAATGCAATGGGGGAAAATGGTCGCCACTATTGCAATAATACATAAACTCAGTTGAAGTTTCTACTTAAACAACCACAATAAGGCTGATATGAAGAACCGTTTCTTGAGTTATACCCACTTCCTACTTTGACCCGTGACCTTTCAACTTTGGTCCGTAAGACAGTTCTGCGGCTAATGACCGTCATTTAAGCACTGTGTAACACTTTGAAACACTGTATAAGAGCACTAAGACGTGGGTGTTAAAAGCGGATAACAGAAACCACACCTACTGCCACTACTTTGTCTGCTACCTCTTCCTACAAAGTCACCCTGACCATCGCACAGCGTGTACCATGTTTTAAGTATACACATATTGAGTTCTTAAAGCCTATACAACACTTTGGGTGAGGTAGTAATGAATATAATAATATGTTACGTTATAAATAAATTATGTGAAAGTTAAGATTTTTTGTGTTATTTATCATAGCCAAACACCCACATTTTTATTTTTAGTTCATAACCCGAACAAAGGACGGGTACCTCAGCTTATCGTCTATAAAAGAAAGAAACGTATTTTCTACAACACATTAATTCACAAGTAATATTATTTCAGTCGGAATTTTAAAAATCCACCATTTTGTATAATTAAATTTGATATAAGTATAATATTTTTACTAGGCTGTCACTTTTTTGTCTTTAAAATTACATTAACGAAAAAATTATTTTTATTGTCCAAGTGTTCTGTATAACACTGTTACATGTGTTACATTCACATGTATCCATTTTATCACGACGTAGCACGGTCAGGTAGTTAGGGCGCTTGAGTCGCAATCTGAGGATCGCTGGTTCGAATTCCCGTCCCACCAAACATGCTCGCCCTTTCAGCCGTGGGGGCGTTATAATGTGACGGTCAATCCCACTATTCGTTGGTAAAAGAGTAGTCAAAGAGTTGGCGGTGGGTGGTGATGAATAGCTACATTCCCTCTAGTCTTTAACTGCTAAATTAGGGACTGCTAGGGCAGATATCTCTCGTGTAGCTTTGCGCGAAATTCAAACCATTCTAGAGTATTATTGACTTGCTTTTTATATCGTCAAATACGAATAACATTATCCTTTCCCAGGTCGCCGCGGTCCTTCCCCGAACGTCTTTACGGCAGCTGAGTACCGCGCTTGGATGAGCCGAGCTCCCTCTACTTCAGCCATCTATGAACGGGTTCGACGTGGTCGGGGAATGACACAAGTACAGCCGCTGCCTAGGATCGCACATAGTGCCGAAAGTCTGCTGGACTCCTTCCGTCAGGTACGTTCTGTTGAAAATGCATATATAATTAAAGTTTGTGATGACAAGTACTTTAAATTGTCGTCTCTCACTTTTGTTGTTGTTTTTCAGAAAACCCGACAAGATACGTTTTATTCGAATTTCGTTAATGCATTTGCTTTTTTTGTCTGATTTTTTTTATATAATTACGTTTGTGATAATTAATTTCTCATCTTCCTATAATAGTTCCTTTTCTTGAAATAAATTTCTTTTCGAAGTTTTAATTTTGAATTTAGATAATACGATTGTCTTTAAGAAACTTAATCCTAAACGCTCTACTCTTTATCGTTCGATATACATTTCTCTCTCTCTCTCTTTTTTAAATTATGTCCAGTAAATCGATTGAAAAGTACATATCACTTCTCCGCTAAAATGTTACAGAATTAATAATAAGTAATTTTTTCTCCTACCACTTAATCAAAACCTTTGTTTTTTATAGTTTTTATCGTTTGATTTATTGTCTTTTGGAAGTACATAACCTACTGTATGAAGCGAGCTTTTGAAAATGGATTGGGTATAAAATGTTTTTAGCCGCGGCATAGCGGCTCATAGAACGGCTCTGAGTTTTTTTTTTGTTTTGTTTTTTCAAGTACAAACTTTTAACTCGTAGCTCCGTCATCCCTTGACCGATTTGAGATCTAATTACAATTTTGGACTCAGGGGGTCAGACCCTTTCGATTGATGTATGTGACCACGCCCAAGGTCTCATAGATTAATTTACTCTAATCCTGCTTA